GCTGTGCGTCTGTACCGATTTTTCATCTCAAGACCCACAAAAGCTACAGGACTGGAACTTTGGGAAATTAATCTACATGCGTGTACGGGCCAGCATCTCCAAAATGGGCGGTCTTACCCGCAGGGTACTCACGTACGGGCCCGTGAAAGGTTTTTGCAGGTAAGTCGCTAACTCGGGAACTAGAAAAGCCAGACAGCTGAAATTTTAAGAGAGTGTTCCCCGTCCAAGTGAGTATTAATGTGTTCAAACCCAGCCCTCGGATATGCGTGCCACCCACGCACGGGGCCGGCAAATTTTTTTTCGGGCAGATTCCCAACTCGAAAACCTAAAAAGCTTGAAGACTGTAATTTTAAGGGGGTGTTTCCCACCCATGTAAGTATTAATGGGCTCAAACCCAGCCCTGATTATGCGTGATTCCCACGCACTGGCCCGTGAAATTTCTTTTTGGGTAAGCCGCTAACTCGGGAACCTGAGAAGCTAGAGGATTGGAATTTTAGGGGGATGTTCTCCATCCAAGTAGGTGTTAACGACCTCAAACTCAGGCACCGGGTGTGCGTGGTACCCACGTACGAACCGGCCAAGGTTTTTTCGGATAAGCCGCTAACTCGGGAAACTGAAAAGTTAGAAAACTGAGATTGTAAGGGGGTGTTTCCTTACAGTTCTGGCGGCCAGTCTTAATTTGTTTAGCTAAAAGCATTCGCCAGAAAAACCGGTGCCGGTAGCGACAAGAACTGCGGGAAACTACGCAAAAAACGCATCTTCGCATGGGCAGCCCGTGCGTTGGCCAATTACTTTTTTTGTGCTTAAGTGATCTTGCCGTAACCAGATAACAAGAACAACTTTTAGTCAGCAACCAAGATAAAAGCGGATTTCTGTCACGTAGAGCATACCAGCACCAATTTGTCGTCAAAACGAGGCAAAAAATAGTTAAGGGCGTGGGAATCTTGAAAGCACCAGGATCGTAATATCGGGGCGCTGCTCCAAAACCTAGAGCTGTGCTAGAGCCGGTAAAACAAGTCACTATACAATCAAAATAATTGGCCAACGCGGCTGCCCGTGCGAAGATGCATTTTTTGCACAGCCCTCCTCCCCCCTCCCCCTCCCCCCGCCCCCTCCGCAGATTTTTGTCGCTTATGA